ACACGCATAGGCGAAGTTCTGGCATGACAGCACACAGTGTTACACATTTGTGCTGTAGCCCAAAATGACAGGCTGCCAACGTGGCGTATACGCCATGTGCCGGGTATGTATATACATATATATATATATATAGAGAGAGAGAGAGAGTGATAGAGGGGGCGGTCAAATCGAGACGAGACGAAACGAGACATCGATGGCAAATGATGATGTGTTGCTAATGATGATGATGATGATGATGATGGCAATGATGAAGTCGCTGTTCTTATTCTTGTTGTTGGGATCATTATCAGCGCACATCTTGCGTCTCGGCATCATCTTCTTGTACACATTTTGGCAGACTTCGTCTTTATCTCGACGCGCGCTGAATGCAATGAAATATAGGTCAAAATACAAGTCAAAATTGCAAAACAAATGCCATTTCGCATTTGCTTGTTTATTTCTTTTCGCTGCTCTCAACACAGTTTTCTTTAACTTTCGCCTGCTGCTGCTGCTGCTGCTTGGCTAACTCCTATTTCTCCCATTTCTTCCATTTCTCTCGCTTCTCTCATTTCTCTGCATTCGCATGCAAATAAATTTAAGCGTGCGCTCATTTTGCACGTAATACAAAACTTTTTAACTGCTAACTGGCAAAATGGAAAAGCGGCGCGTGCTGTCGTTTTTCTTTCTATTTTCCTGTTTATTTTTCTTTTTTCCTTAAATGTTTTGTTTTTTTTTTTCGCTCACTTATTGCCACAGTTCGCCTTTCTTAGCCAGTTGCTTGCAAATAATTCTCCCCTTTGTGTACTTGGCATTTGGTCTTGTAGTCTCCGCTTATTGAAGGTAAACGTAAACTAACTGTAAGCTGACTTGATTGCAATTGCCCTGCGGGTGGGTCCGTGTCCGTGTATGTGTGTGATTTGTGTCTGTGTGCCAGTATTTAGTTAAGAGTTGTCGGGCAAGGGTCGCGTTTGAAAGACTTAATCAGTGGCTAAACTGGGACAAGAGACGATTCACTCACAGCTTTAAACTTATCAAGGTTCTTGGAATAATGCCACCTGAATATATCTATAATATATATCCGGACTACGACACTGTTGCTCAGGGTATTATAACTCATGGAAGTAGACTATTGCAATAAGGAATGCTGAATCAGGATTTAAAGTCGATTCGATGTAGGTACTTAAGCTATTGTTATGGAACTTTAAATGGGTTTGTCTTACTGTTGCAGGCAGAACAAATATATATCGGAGCTCTCGTGATCGGACAAGTGTATTTTAAAATTGACATAGAATTGATCGGGTGAAAATTATTTCTTTTATGAGAAACTTTTTTGCTTTCTAAGATAGATTTACTACTATACTTTTCTCCTATTATATTTCTTCTTAAAATTATAATTAATTTTACAGTACATTACATTTTTGAATTTTTACTCAAGCCCTTACCTCTATTTATTGAACTACTTTGGAAGTTAATATATCAATTTCTTTCAATCCCAATTATCAAAATATAAAAGAATATATATTTAACTTGTGCTCAATAATTTAACAACGTATGTCAATGCAAAATTGTTGGAAATGAAAAATGTAATTTAAGGCATAGCTTTTCATTTGCCATGTGATCTGCCAGTCAATTGTCTCTTGCTGGTAAAATACAAACAAGAACTTAAATTTTCCAATGTGTTTGTGGTGCAGTCTTTGTGTGAGTGTGTGTATATGTTTGCGTTTCTATGCAATTATAATTTTTGGGGTGCAACCCAAAATGCAGATTGTTGGCCATTTGTTTGGGCAAATGCTAACTCCAGCTGGAGTGCCTGCAGCGCCCCTCTGCCAGATATCAGCTCGACCAGCTTCCAGCTACCAGTTACCAACTCCCCTTCCCCAATCCGCAAAGCTGCCCCCACTGCCTATCCTAGCTATCTGCAGCTGCTGGCTGCATGTGTAGGCTTTTGGTGACAAATACAAAGCGCTTGTTAAAGGCCAAAAGCGTTGCGTTGGGGCTAAGAATGGCTGTGGCCATGCTTTGGAGTTGTTAGTGTGCACGTGGGTGTGAGTGTGCGTGTGTGTGTGTGCGTGTGTGTGTTTGGCTAACTAAGTGTGTGCGGCCGTACAGTGTTGCGGGCTGTAAAGAGACCAATCGTAAATCAAGGCATGACTACCACGACAACAACAATAAGGATGAGGACGCACTTGAGGGGCGTGCCAAGGCAAATGATGGAGCCAGTGGTCGGGAGGGGGTCCGCCCGGGGTGTTGAGGTGTGTAGTAGAGGGGGTTAGCCCCCCCCTTAGGCTATGGGTAACTCCACTCTATGAGTTGAGTTGCCCTTTGTGGTCCAGAGAGCTGGAGAATGCATTAAAGTTGAGGCACAGGATCAGGCCATGGCTCAAGCTCCATAGTAAACACAAACTTACATATATATATGAAGATATGTATATGTGTATGCATATATGTATATATAGTATAGTCAGTGCTTGTCTATGCAAATATTAAAGTCTGTTGTTGTCGTTTGGTGGCGAAAATTGCGAGCATGACATACTATGGCGAGAGGCTGGAGCGACAGCGAGGGGCATATGGCAAGCAAATGTAAATGGCCAACAGTTGAGGGTGAAATGGCTGGAAGGGGGGGGGGGGGGTGTGTGTGTTGGAAAGGGGGCGGGTGGTATGGGGGTTAGCTATAAAAGGCCATTGCTAAGTGCCTGTCTATAGTGTGCTTGGTGGCCCCTAATGAAAATATAAAGCAAATTAAATATTTAATTTAATCAATGTGTAATGGGACTATAGTTGGCACCAAAAGGATATTAGATTTCCCACAAGAAATCTGTCAGCCGACGCATTTCCCCATGGAAAACATGAAAAATTAAATGAAAATCCCATTTAACAAATATTAGGAGTAATTGTCAATATTTCGCTAGTAGTTACTTTAATTTAAGGGATAACAAATATAATAAACTTTATCGTTATTTGTTTTTTATAATAATAAAATAAAAGTTGTAATACGTGGCATACCAGATAAGAATAGGGATTAATAAGGTATATTTTTATAGGTTAAATAGGTTAAAGGCCAATTCTTGTCAATAACTTAGGATCTATGTTCTTTACTGTTTTGCGGTTCAAGTAGCAACAGTTTATGGATTTTATTGGAATATTATTATTTTTTGATTAACTGTTTAATCTGTTTTTCAATTCAAGCTGGACGAATCGTCTAATATATTCATATATAAATTTCAGAAAAGAGAAACTAAATAAAAGTGCAACAACTTAAAGTTGCAATTACAAGTTGAGCATGCAGCCAATTAAAAACGGAGGCAAAAAACCTGCCAATTAAAACTTTGTGGCGAAAACAACATAAAAACAAAATCAAATTGCGTCAGGGAAAAACTAAAAACTCTAATAAGTGCCGAGGTATTATATAAAAAATTACAAATATAATGGAAAGGAATGGAAAGTAAAGGAACGTGTAAAGGAAGCTGCGCTTCAATGCACATGGAAACATGCGCGTTGATGCCCAACAATGTTGCCAGACAAGGAGCAAGCAAGATGGTCGAGGGGAAGGGGGCAGTTAAGAGAGGAGAGAAGGGGAAATTGCATAGCAGACGACATCTTCATTAAAATCTAATTAGCGCATTGCAAAGCGAGCCAGTTGGTACTTGAAAACTGAGTCCTTGACTTGGCGTTTTGCTGGCAACAGTGGGGCAAGAGCGCACAACCAGGCAGGGATGGGGTGAGCAGCCAGCTGAGCTTTCAGGTGAGCTGCCAGGTGAGCTGCTAGGTGAGCTGCATGCGTAAGCTGCTTAACTTGTGCTGAAATTTAAGCAGCAGCTGCCAGGAGTCAGAAGTCAGCCAGCCAGCCAGCCAGCCAGGAGTAGCTCAGTGCTGCTTAGGAATGTCAGTCATAGCTGTTGTGGAGCCAGGAGCAGCTGCACCTTTCCCATTGTCCTTGCTCTACTTAAATTTGATGCTGCTGCTGCCAACTGCACACGCATGCAGCCAGCCAGCAGGAGGATTGCGGGATTGGGTTTGAGCCTTCGGGGCGACTTCTTGCGCAACATTTTCAAATTCCAGAGTCAACCGCAAAATGAAAAACTTTCTATGGCTGCTGCTGCTGCTCTGCTGCTGCTCGTGCTGTTGGAGCCACACCCCCTGTGCACGCCTTAAATTGTATACATATTGTATATAGATTTTTTTCTTTTTTTCTTTTTGCTGGCAGGACCCTTACATACACACACACACACACATACACATGCGGCTGCTCGCGTATGTCCTTCAGGCGTGCATTGCATTTCGATGTTGCTGCCGGGAGAAATTGCTTTATAAAATGTTGCAAGCTGTGCGGGGAGATTGGTGGCTTTTGTGGGCGTGGCCATCGGCGAGACCATCTTGCTGTTAGCTTTTCTTATTTTTCCCTACCAATTCCTGCTGCGGTTTCCTTGTTTGACATGCTTTTAATTTTCAATACATTTTTCTTTCTCCTTTATTTTTTTTTCTGTTATGCTCAGCTCTCCACCACATTGGCCATTATCGCATTTTAGATTTCTTGAGACGTTGCTAATGGTTTTGATATTTTGAGTTGCTATAAATCATTTTCAATCAGCGGCACATAATAAAAAGCTGCTCCTGCGCTATATATAGATATTCATATATATATATATATATATATATAAATATAGGTAGACGAAAGTTGCGGTATTAATAAATATCTTAGGCAGTCAAGAAAAAGGGTCGAGTTTTACGGCTCAGCTGTTATCCAACTGTTAAGATTACGCTTTTAATTATTGCAAGATAATATGGATTGTTGCTGATTTCTAGAATGACAAATAACTGTTAAAATATTATGATTCCCAATCGTAACAGCAAAATAAATGATAAAAGCAAATTTTAGTTTTGACAGATCGTTCCTTTTGTACACAATTAAATAAAAATATATATTAAATAAAATATATCGATTAAATTTGTTTTAAAAAAATTGTTTATAGATAAATATTGCTAGAACCTTAAATTAAAAAAAAAATGAAGAGAATCTAAGGATATGATTTTATACCCTTGTTGACGTTTGTCTTACGGTTTTGCAGCTATGTGGGAATAGTGGTGAATAGTTTGGTAAAACTTGGAAAACGAATTATTTGCCATACAAAAACTCATTTTTCTACTGATTATTCCATTAGTGCTATATAATAGCTGTATTTTTAGTAAATGCCAGGACTGGTAAAAATAATTTGATAATCGATCGTTCCTATGGCAGCTTTATGATATAGTGGTCTGATCCGGCCAGCTCCGACATATGCCTTTAACACTGCTAAAATAGTTCGCATGGAAGTAGACAGATGTACAAGGCTATTCACATGCAATTCTTTATATAAATGATCTTTATAGTCCAATCATTACCAAATAACAAATGAGGCAGTTATTGGTTGTCTTGCTTCGCAAATGTAGCGACTGGGAAAAGTACATGGGCGATCGTTTAACCCGCTCGTATGATTTGTTTTCCATCCCAACTCGTGACAGTGCTCTGATTTGCCTGCATTATCGGGCTGTCCCTTGGCCCAGATATCTATATTGATGGGTTGTCCGTTCGCAAACCAAATGTGCGCACCCTCTTTGGCCAGATCCGTGCCCGAAGTCCAATATAAATGTTCTATATTCATTGCGCGTATATATCGATTAATTTCATACCATTCGTCGATCGTTTCGATCGATATCAACTCAGCGTCCATGCAACGACACGTTTGGTAAGAATCGAACCAGTTTTTCTGTTTGTTCACCTCGAAAAAGTAAAATCCGTAAGCGATCCTAACGAATGGAGCCGTTGTAAGGTTCGTGTTCGATGGTATATCTATGTGAAATATGCTACAATAAGAAAAGGTTATTTCAGGGTATTCCCTTTCTAAAACTTACCAGGCGTTATAACGGGATGCAATTTATATGTCATACATATGGCGACCAATCCAAAGAACTGCAGAAGACACACGTATTGCCCAGACATTTTTGCTATACTCATTTAAATCTTTCAATACGCCTGGCTTTTTATATCAAAAAATCAAAAAAATGTACTCATTGAAATGGGTAGATAGGGTATATAAGTTTTGTGCAGACCCTTGTCGGGCAGTTGTCCGGAATCTTACGTGAAAGCAAATACCAATGTCGACATTTAAAGCCCAGTCTAGGGTATATCTAAGTCTATTAGTTGTGAAACACAAAGTGAATGTTTATATAGATATATTTTTAAGACGTTTGTTTATCATTAGTTAGCAGAAATTTCGGTACATGCTTATTTACCTTGGTCTACAAACAATTGCGGATTGTGATTTGTAAGATGTGCGAATATTTGGATTTCATTTATAAATATTTTCACTTGCGCATAAGTTTATTATCAAGTTGTTGCTTTGGCAATTATATATTTCAGGTTAATTGGGATCGTGAAACGGAAAACGGGCAGTAACATTATTTTTTTGTATAAATGACTTCAATTATATATTGTAATTTTAACATGCACTTGTCCAAGTCAATATATTGTAGGCAAAAGTTACCATGTAGTTGATCTGCTTTGCAAAGTTGCAGAAGGGAAATGTAAAGGTTTAGAAAATGCTAAATATGTATACATTTTGTTAGCTGCATGTGTAAAAGTCTTTTAACTGATTAAAGATTATTCTGCGGTATTCAGACAACAAATTTTATCCGCTTGGTAGACTTATGCTACTTCCAGCTATCAGAAGCCTTACCAAGAGGCAAATTCAGTTGTCTTTCCCAATATGAAAATTTATGAAATGGCAAAGCCTCTCCTTTCCACTACTTAAATAATTTCCACTGATGAAAATTAAAATAATATATAAGAGGTTTTAAATGCTCACTAAAAAACAAAGATATTTTTGGGACGAAATTCTTTTAGAGTAGACAAAATAACTTGATTTTTGAATGCAGCTAAACATTTCGCATGTGCCTTATTAAGTTTTAATTCTCATATGCCAAACTATGTAGAGATGAAAATACCTTTCGACTTTTCATGCCATCGACTTTGTCGGCATCTATATATATAAATTTTGTATGGTAGATGCTTCCCTCTTAAAAATTACTTGGCTGCTTAATGTGTCTAATTAAATTTCACATGCCGTTGAACAGCAGACAGTTGCCTCGCGCGCTCGCTCTCTCTCTTTTTCGCTTTCAAGTTTGGCTTCATTTTCCTTAGCATTTTCTAGCCAACTTTTCCGCTCACACACACACACACACAGCTAACATACACATGAATCTGGCTGCTACGAGACACGCATTTAGTGGCCATGTTAATGGCTGACACATTTTGCTTTGCTTTTGATTTGATGGCTTGGAGCGCTCTTCACCTCCCTGCACACACACACACACACATAGAGAGAGAGAAAGACACACAGACACATCTCATTCCGAAACATAATCATCTTTCCATTGAACGTGTTGTCATTTGTTTTAATGTTCGAAGGCGCCGGGTAAAATGGTATTTTTATAAGAGATTTGATGAGTTTCTCCCTGTCCTTTTTTCCCATTCTTTTTATGCCATTTTCCGCGAAAGAAAAGACAAAGTCTAGCATACTTTCGGGCGTGGGCTGTAAATTACGTAGCCGCCTGCGTTGGGCAAATGCATTTTATGACTTTTCATGCATTCCCAAAAATGGGCAAACCAATTAGCTGCGTGTGGGCGTGGCTTGGCGCCCCACTTGGCGCCGTTTAACAATTGTCGCATGGCAAAAACGAGAAACTGTCAGTTAAATTATATTTTCGTCGGCATTTGTAATCATCAACGTCCTGGCAGCATATTTCTAGTCTCTGTGTGTCTGTGGGCGTGGCCTTGTGGGTGTGTGTGTGTGTGTGTCTGTACATGTCCCCAGCGAATTAATTAGAAAACTTTTCTTAACTGATTCAGTGCCAGCAGCAGGGACTGAGACACACGCCTTCAAAGAAGCTAGTAGAAGCTGCTTTTTGTGTGGACATACACACACACACACACACACCCTAAGACCAACACACACATTGAGACACTGCAAACATTTGCGGTTCGAGCCAAAATGCAGCTTGGCGCTGCCACAAAACTAAAACTGCATGGGGAAACTCTTTGAGGCATTCATTAGTTCGCTAAAGAAAATGTCATACATATACACCACACAGTCGGCTATGTGTGTGTTATGTGTGTGTGAATTGCAGCAAAAAGAAAGTGGAACAAATACATGTAGCAATCACTGCGCTGTTCGCGTGTGGGTGTGTGTGTGTGTCTTTTAGAGCATTATAAATTCAACATGGGGATTTAAAACGCCCAAATTATGTCCGCTGCATTTGACAGAAGACGGGTTTCATCAATTTCTGTCGAATATTAGCAAATAGTACACGATGACTTTGACTTTTGCGTTTTGGTCAGAATAAAAACTTGGCAGTCCTTAAGGCGATAAGCAAAATGTCAGTGAACTCTGATTGGTTAATGATTGAAAATGTGTATTAAGATTCTCGTATATTGTACAAATTTAACGACAAATAGAATGTTCGATTTATTTAATTTAAATTCACGGCTTGGATTGGAGTGAATCAAATGCGGCTTAGAGCCTTAATAATAATAAAAAGTTTTAACCTTTATCCATGAAAGGTAAAAGTAGTATATTCTTACTCTCCTTACGTAATATCTGATATGCCTTTGAACTTGTGTCATACACTGTCGCTCTCTCTCACTCTTTGTTTCTTATACCTCCTCTCTATTCATTACCTTTCTTTGCGATTCTCATGAATCTAAGTAACGTTAAGAGAAATTTACGCTTAAATTTTCACCAACCAATTCAGAAGAATATAGCGGCGCATAATATAAATTTTAATATTGAATATAATAAACAGTCGCCTCATATAGAACGAAGAAAGTTTGAGATAAATAATGAATTCAGTTATACAAAAGTTGTTATATTAACACTTTTATATAATTACATTTAAATTGGTTTTTATTTTTGCAAAGCTGGTTTCAAATTATTTTTGGCAATTTAATTCGTAAGAATTAAAATTCCTCAGAGCTAAAATTGCTGGTTAACTTCGAATTTGGTGGTAATTCAGACGAATTTGAAGTGCCTCAGGGCGCGGCTGGTAATTCCAGCGATTTGCGTGCGCAATTTAACGCTCAACTAATTGAAATAATTGGCCAATGAAAATCTTATTAAATTAATAAAGATGCATTAAAATCAGTTTAATAACCACTCGAAGAAACGCTGAGTAGCAGTAAATTTGAGTTTAATGCCACGGACATTATAATGGAACGGCAAATGAAAAAATTTTATAACCCTTCAACCCCTTTTTTAATAGCTGCGGGACTACCCCAAATGTTTGGCGCGGTCTTCAATATAAATTTCATAGTTTATTGTTTACTGACAATTGTTTTTATTTTTATTTCCCTTTTGTTTTGCAGCGCTTTAAGGACAATGACATCGAAGTGAAGCGCAAGGATGGCATTATCCTGCTGCGTGAATTAGCGGCCGAGGTGAAGAACTTTATGGACTTCAAGCGTAACGCTGTAATGGTAAGTGGACAAAACCCCCCTCCCTCAACTGTAAGTGCCCACAATTGACAAGTGGCTCAATAGCTCAAAGCGCACGCGACAAACACACACACATACGCACGCACAACAAAAAACACACACACAAAATAATAACAAGAACGCGCCGCTCAGTGGGACACTGGCGTAAAGTGGAAAACAATAAATTGCCGTGAGCCAAAAACAGCCCCAGCAACAACAACAATAAATACAAGTAAAAGTACTCGAGCTGAGAGTGCTCGACTATTAGATACTCTATACATGTAGTCTTATTTTGTTCCAACCCAAATTCGAGGAATATAATGTGAAATGAATGCCACTTAAAATGCCTTCTTCCATTCTTCCACTTTTTGGGCATCAAAATACCAAGTTTTGTGTCTCCGGCTTTTATAATATCAATTAGAAAAAACCAGGTAGCAAATCGATATTTATCGATTTAGAAACAAGAAGCAAATATCGATATTTTACGTAAATTGGATATCGAAACATAAAGCTTAGCTCTAATAGACATTGTGATCGACGGATAGATGAACTCAGTTGACTCGTACCTGGTCCTTATGCTCATAGACTATCGTATTCCTCTTTTATCCATTTGCGATGAGTGCAGGGTATAAGAACATCTCAGGCGCTGAGCAGTTGTCAGCTGAGGGAGAGGCCGACAAATTGAAATTAAAGTGCGCCAGCCACAAGGACAAGTTTTGATGGCGCCCGCAGCTGCTGCGGCTACTACCACTGTTACTGCTACTGCTACTGCTACTGCTACTGTTATGTGTCGCCAATCGCCACCCATTTGCCCATTTGCCGGTTTGCCCATTGGCCGCTGCCAGTTGTCAGCTGACTGTGGTAAGCAGACTCGGCCAGACTCGCGTCTCAGGCGGAATGAACCTCTGCGGTGTTGTGGTCTTTGCCCTGCTCTTTGTGGCTTTCCAGTGTGCGCGTCCGTCCTGCGTATCAATAGACTTCGTTTACTGTCAGGATAATTTGCTGCAGGCGTCGCGATTGCACATTGGCGCAAGCTAGCCGGAAATAAGGGAGGCTATAAGAAACATTTGAGGAAAGGTGGCAGATTTAGAAGAAATATTAAACTGAATGTGTTTACGGGTCGCATAACATTTGCACATTTAAACCGTGAACATTTCAAGTGAACTGTATTATCTTAAAATTAACCTAGTTTAAAAATTAATTGAGTTTTCATTGGCAGTTCGACTGCCTTTCGACCACGGTATCATTTGGCAATGGCCAACAGCACTTTGCTATTAAAAAACGGCAGCTATTTATTTTTTCTTATTTTTTGTGATTGATTGGTGAAGTATCTACGCGGTCCCTTGCGTGGCTCTCTGCCTTGCATGTTGCGCTTTTTTATGGTTAGTTAATTTGCCACATATTCCATTTCTTTGCTAATTTTCTATTTTTTGAGTAGATTTTCTTTAATATGCGCCACCAACGCAGCTCGCATTCATTTCTATTTTCATGCGCATTTTCATTGAATTAAGCGAATGCCAAAAATATTTACAACTTGAGCTGAGCTGCTGTTGGAAAAAAACAAGAACACGTACAGTCATCATTAATAATGCGTGGCAAAACAATTAAATGTTATAATCAAGGCATAAGGGCAACTTTTATATGCACAGTAAATATAGATATATACTCACCATATTATATACCGCATGTCCGCGTTGTATTCATGTTCTCGGCGAGAGCCCATGTCCATGTTTCGCTCATGTGCGTGGGTATACATAAATAATTTTTTATGATTTCCGCAAAATATCGATTTAATTTTTTTGGGTTTCTTTTTTGTTGTTGTTGTGGGTTTATTTGGCGGACGCTTCTGCTGCTTCTTCCGCTCCTTATGGCCAATCCAAACACAAACGTACAGAAACACACACCCACACACATGCATACGCATATTGAGAGAGCGCAGCTGCCGAGCTGCTGCTGTGTTGTCCTGTTGTCCTGCAGTCCGGAAGTTTTGGCCCTGACGCAAAACGCATACGAAGCACCATTAATTAAAAATCAGCCCACATGAACAACAACAACAGCAACAAAAACAACAACAAGAGCGGCAACATCAAAAACAGCAAAATGCCAAATAACATGCACAAACAAACAAATTCATAGTCCACAAGCCAGACTCTCAGATATCCTGAACACAATTTCTATAGAACGTAGATGGGATATAACATTATTTGTGAAATAAACTTGCAGAAATCTTTATACATTCACGACCTAAACAATTACATAAAATATTTTAATACCTATATTAAATTTGTAACATAATATAAAAAATTTAACAAACAACTGCTATCTTCGATGAAATACGCTTGTATAAGTTGTAGGGCAATCATTAGTTATTATTAAATGCGTTACATATTTCATGACAAAATTAATATATCCTCTAAAAGGATACAAAAAAGTGGCTTAGGTAACTAAAAAGCGAGTTTGCGGATTCAAATCTTAAAGGGGCTAGCCACTTTTATTTTGCAGATTTATTTATAAGGTAGGTTGATTACCTTGAACGCACATACTTTTGATTTTAGCCCAATTATATACTACATAATATTGCGAGCATCATCCTAAAGGTTGAATAAAATTTTATTATTAAATATTTACTTTGGCATAGCATACTCTTAACGCCCCTAAAATAGAGATTAAAACTTTTTTAATATTTTTTTTAGCATACTTTGAATATAGTTGAAAACATTTAAAAGAAGGGTAAAAATTTATTTCACTATTTCACAACGTGAAACTTGGAGGCTTTTGAATTAATCGACAGAATTTTATGTTTAAATACTTAGCAATTTATGTTCTTTTTCAGTTTTGTTACCTTGTCTCTTACTTGGACCCACACAAAATACTTAAGAACCGATGTCCCCTTACGAAAGTAGTGCATACGAAAAAGTCCAAGCTGGTACAAAGCCGACGACATTTTTTTGTTATTGTTGTTGTTGGTCTGTGCACAAACAAATAGAAGATTAACCACCAAAATTTTGAAGCATTTATGAAAAACGCCGAGGTGCGCTCCCACACACTCACACACATACACACACACACACACACACACACTAATTGATATACACATAGGGACTTATACACACAAAGGCAAACATGTGCCATTCAATCGCTCGCAACTCTTGAAGTTCAACGAGCAGCAAAAGTGTCGCACATGTGGCTACGCCCCCCCGAAAACGTATCTAAATCTTTGCCCGACGTGATGCACCAAATAAAGGCTTTGGAGACGATTTAGGTGAAAAAGCTGGGGGAAAAGCTGAAAAAGGCAACGCAGATTGCGACTCCAACATAGTTTTTTGGCCGTTATCGTTTTTATACTCTTGCAGAGGGTAGAATTATTTTGTGACGAATTGTGTAACGCATGAGATACTTCATCGCAGACCTTATACTCTTATATTCTTGATCAGTATCAACAGCCCGACAAGTCTTCCGGCTTTAAAGATATCTTGATGAAAATTGACAGAGTTATTTTTCTTTGGTGTATCCTAGGATTGGTCGGTGGAAATTTAAACTCGTGACTTCCAGAATCTTTTCGACATCGGATAACTAAGCCATATGAACAATCGAGAACAAGAGGGTATTCGCTCTTCGGCGTGTAGGATATAGATGGCTTTTCTTGCGATTTGTTTTGCATACGTCAGCTAAAGTTTCAATGGGCCAACGGGGCGTATACGCATTGTGGCAATGGCGAGAGTTTAGTGAGCAACAAAAACAACCAACTGACCCAAGCAGACAATATATAGAACCACACATACGCACATTTTTGTTTTGTTTTTGCATGCGACTTTGCCATTCTATTTATTTATATTACTTTTTTATTTTATACATATTCTTTTGTCGATTAAGTGACCTTTTGTATGGCACTCTGTAGCTGTCTGGCCCGCGGTCATTGTCTGAGGCGGGTTCTGTTGCTTTGGATTTATTGTTATTTGTTTTGCTCACGCAACACACACTTATCACATTATGTTTAGCCACAAAATACTTTCAATTGTGATTTTTAATTAAAATTTGCATTTTAACTTTTGGACAATTGTTAAGGTACAAATTTAATTTAATTTAATGTATGTCTTCAAACATCATTGTATATTAATAGAAAGCGATTGTGCTTCTTTTTCTCGACCCTTCTAGAACCGGAAAATTCTTGCATTAATTGCATTTACAATCCAATCCAATTCATATGCAGTGACTAATAAGTTTTGTATTAGTATTTCATTACAATATGAAACTATTATTTGGCTTCTAAGATAATAATTTTTATCTAGTAACTTCTTTCAATGTTGTTGTGTTTTCAATGGGTTTTGCCCAGAAAAGTTGCATGCGTCATCAATTTATTCATGCAATATAATTCTGGTTTTCGCTTGTGTCAAGTGAAGCAAAGACAAGTTTTGATCATGTACAAGTCAATTATCATTGAAAGCAATATGTTTGGAAAAGTGTAAATAAAAGTGTAAATAACAGGCAGTGGAATGTCTGTCGCTTCGATCTCGGAGACTTTACGATATAGCAAGTTGCTAAGCTATAGAAAAAACTAAATAATAAAAAACAACAGATTTGCATAAGTAAAGCCTAAGAAAAACTTAAAGCAACTTAAAGTAAAGTGACGTTAAATATTCAACTGCATAAAAAATATGGAATTTGCGCGCAGCTCAATGAAAGTGTGCAACAATAATTTCTAGGGGTTAAATCAATTAATACAAATATAATTGATGAAATTGTAATATAAAATTGATATTCTATATATTATATTCCGTGCATTTTAATCTATATACATACATATATGGTAAAGCTACAAGACTCGTATTAATCTGTGTGTTTATATTTCAAACTTGATTCGGGGAATCTCCCCGATGTGATTGCGGTCGCATAGGGCTATACTATGTGTGTTTTATACATAAATATAGAAGTACACGCTGCCTGCCGCTCATTCATTGTTAATCGTGCAAGCTATAAACAACATGGACTTACTTAACAAAATTCTCAACTTGTTGGTTTTGGTCCTCTATGTGGTGTGCTACGTCCTGGGCGCCTGCAACGACGGCTTCTACGCAAGGAATGGCAATTTGGTCATTGACTTAAATAATCTACAAGCGCAATTTGATTGCGTGCAACAGCAGCATCGCGGATAATACATAATAATAATAAAATAATATTGTATTATGAAGTTTAAATAAAAGCTGTACAAGTTTATTTATAAAAGTGTTTGTTATTGCAAGCGTAAACTCGGTTGGAAAATAAAAGCCAATGGCTCACAGAGTAATTTCTCAGTTTATCAGTGAAGTTTTTGGGTTAATGTATTTTTGGCTCGATCCTTACAAAGGATTATGATTAAGCTATCTACTTACAGTGAATCTTTTATAAAAAAAAAAAACAGACGTGCAAAACACATTACATAAACATTTGTATAACCGCTTTTTTGTACGTATGACGTATTAGTCCGATGTGGATAGGTGTTATGGTGCACAACAAAGCTCGGAAATGCCAAGCTAAGTTGGCTAAACAAAAATGTTGTTAATACAAAAACCTAATTGATCATTACTTTGCAATTGTATAATATGGAGAAAAGATTCGGCTGTCCCTGGCATGAAATGTCTGCATAAAAATAGAATATTTTGCAAGTTTAATTAGAATATACCTCAGTCTGAGGGACTTGTTTTATAAAAGAATGCGGTCATAGCTACATTGATTAGAATGTTGGTACTGATCAATAATGTATACATATTCTTAAGAGCAAGCAGATGTACGCATTTTGTGAGAAACTTATTAACTCCTGCAATGGTTGGTCTTTTTCTTCCAATTATTGAACATGCAATGGCGAAATAATTGATAATTCATATCCTATATAAAAATATTCAGAAGCAACATGCATTCGCAAATTCATAAAGTGGTGTTAATTCTCTTCATGAGAATTATCAAAACGATGCTCTGTTGAATTGTTCTGTCATTAGCTTTGATATTATTCAGTGCCATTGTTTGAAATTTGTTGGCCGTAGAAAATTGGGTTTATCGTTATCAATGCATTATATAGCACATCTATGTAAATGTACGTCTAATCTGTGAAACCAATCAAATAATTAGCTACCGTCAATCCATCTATATATTACACGTTATACATCTATTTGTCAACATGCCGGACAAACCAACGGGCAGAGGATTGAGAGAGACAGACAGAGCGAGACACACATTAAGCTGACCCCTAAACAGGGCATTGTCAACATACATGATATTATTTAAACACGCCGCATGGCGCCCGCACAATCGACCATTCAAAACGGCGAAGAGCAGAAAAATATATATGATTGGCAAGATACATTAACAACAACAAGACTGAGTCAAATATTTGGTAAAAACGGCAATCGGCTAGCAAATAATAAATAAATAACAAATAACTCTTGAAGTTCAACGAGCTGCAAAAGTGTTGCACATGTGGCCACGCCCCCCGAAAACGTATCTAAATCTTTGCCCGACGTGATGCACCAAATAAAGGCTTTGGGGACGATTTAGGTGAAAAAGCTGGGGGAAAAGCTGAAAAAGGCAACGCAGATTGCGACTCCAACATAGTTTTTTGGCCGTTATCGTTTTTATACTCTTGCAGAGGGTAGAATTATTTTGCGACGAATTGTGTAACGCATGAGATACTTCATCGCAGACCTTATACTCTTATATTCTTGATCAGTATCAACAGCCCGACAAGTCTTCCGGCTTTAAAGATATCTTGATGAAAATTGACAGAGTTATTTTTCTTTGGTGTATCCTAGGATTGGTCGGTGGAAATTTAAACTCGTGACTTCCAGAATCTTTTCGACATCGGATAACTAAGCCATATGAACAATCGAGAACAAGAGGGTATTCGCTCTTCGGCGTGTAGGATATAGATGGCTTTTCTTGCGATTTGTTTTGCATACGTCAGCTAAAGTTTCAATGGGCCAACGGGGCGTATACGCATTGTGGCAATGGCGAGAGTTTAGTGAGCAACAAAAACAACCAACTGACCCAAGCAGACAATATATAGAACCACACATACGCACATTTTTGTTTTGTTTTTGCATGCGACTTTGCCATTCTATTTATTTATATTACTTTTTTATTTTATACATATTCTTTTGTCGATTAAGTGACCTTTTGTATGGCACTCTGTAGCTGTCTGGCCCGCGGTCATTGTCTGAGGCGGGTTCTGTTGCTTTGGATTTATTGTTATTTGTTTTGCTCACGCAACACACACTTATCACATTATGTTTAGCCACAAAATACTTTCAATTGTGATTTTTAATTAAAATTTGCATTTTAACTTTTGGACAATTGTTAAGGTACAAATTTAATTTAATTTAATGTATGTCTTCAAACATCATTGTATATTAATAGAAAGCGATTGTGCTTCTTTTTCTCGACCCTTCTAGAACCGGAAAATTCTTGCATTAATTGCATTTACAATCCAATCCAATTCATATGCAGTGACTAATAAGTTTTGTATTAGTATTTCATTACAATATGAAACTATTATTTGGCTTCTAAGATAATAATTTTTATCTAGTAACTTCTTTCAATGTTGTTGTGTTTTCAATGGGTTTTGCCCAGAAAAGTTGCATGCGTCATCAATTTATTCATGCAATATAATTCTGGTTTTCGCTTGTGTCAAGTGAAGCAAAGACAAGTTTTGATCATGTACAAGTCAATTATCATTGAAAGCAATATGTTTGGAAAAGTGTAAATAAAAGTGTAAATAACAGGCAGTGGAATGTCTGTCGCTTCGATCTCGGAGACTTTACGATATAGCAAGTTGCTAAGCTATAGAAAAAACTAAATAATAAAAAACAACAGATTTGCATAAGTAAAGCCTAAGAAAAACTTAAAGCAACTTAAAGTAAAGTGACGTTAAATATTCAACTGCATAAAAAATATGGAATTTGCGCGCAGCTCAATGAAAGTGTGCAACAATAATTTCTAGGGGTTAAATCAATTAATACAAATATAATTGATGAAATTGTAATATAAAATTGATATTCTATATATTATATTCCGTGCATTTTAATCTATATACATACATATATGGTAAAGCTACAAGACTCGTATTAATCTGTGTGTTTATATTTCAAACTTGATTCGGGGAATCTCCCCGATGTGATTGCGGTCGCATAGGGCTATACTATGTGTGTTTTATACATAAATATAGAAGTACACGCTGCCTGCCGCTCATTCATTGTTAATCGTGCAAGCTATAAACAACATGGACTTACTTAACAAAATTCTCAACTTGTTGGTTTTGGTCCTCTATGTGGTGTGCTACGTCCTGGGCGCCTGCAACGACGGCTTCTACGCAAGGAATGGCAATTTGGTCATTGACTTAAATAATCTACAAGCGCAATTTGATTGCGTGCAACAGCAGCATCGCGGATAATACATAATAATAATAAAATAATATTGTATTATGAAGTTTAAATAAAAGCTGTACAAGTTTATTTATAAAAGTGTTTGTTATTGCAAGCGTAAACTCGGTTGGAAAATAAAAGCCAATGGCTCACAGAGTAATTTCTCAGTTTATCAGTGAAGTTTTTGGGTTAATGTATTTTTGGCTCGATCCTTACAAAGGATTATGATTAAGCTATCTACTTACAGTGAATCTTTTATAAAAAAAAAAAACAGACGTGCAAAACACATTACATAAACATTTGTATAACCGCTTTTTTGTACGTATGACGTATTAGTCCGATGTGGATAGGTGTTATGGTGCACAACAAAGCTCGGAAATGCCAAGCTAAGTTGGCTAAACAAAAATGTTGTTAATACAAAAACCTAATTGATCATTACTTTGCAATTGTATAATATGGAGAAAAGATTCGGCTGTCCCTGGCATGAAATGTCTGCATAAAAATAGAATATTTTGCAAGTTTAATTAGAATATACCTCAGTCTGAGGGACTTGTTTTATAAAAGAATGCGGTCATAGCTACATTGATTAGAATGTTGGTACTGATCAATAATGTATACATATTCTTAAGAGCAAGCAGATGTACGCATTTTGTGAGAAACTTATTAACTCCTGCAATGGTTGGTCTTTTTCTTCCAATTATTGAACATGCAATGGCGAAATAATTGATAATTCATATCCTATATAAAAATATTCAGAAGCAACATGCATTCGCAAATTCATAAAGTGGTGTTAATTCTCTTCATGAGAATTATCAAAACGATGCTCTGTTGAATTGTTCTGTCATTAGCTTTGATATTATTCAGTGCCATTGTTTGAAATTTGTTGGCCGTAGAAAATTGGGTTTATCGTTATCAATGCATTATATAGCACATCTATGTAAATGTACGTCTAATCTGTGAAACCAATCAAATAATTAGCTACCGTCAATCCATCTATATATTACACGTTATACATCTATTTGTCAACATGCCGGACAAACCAACGGGCAGAGGATTGAGAGAGACAGACAGAGCGAGACACACATTAAGCTGACCCCTAAACAGGGCATTGTCAACATACATGATATTATTTAAACACGCCGCATGGCGCCCGCACAATCGACCATTCAAAACGGCGAAGAGCAGAAAAATATATATGATTGGCAAGATACATTAACAACAACAAGACTGAGTCAAATATTTGGTAAAAACGGCAATCGGCTAGCAAATAATAAATAAATAACAAATAACTCTTGAAGTTCAACGAGCTGCAAAAGTGTTGCACATGTGGCCACGCCCCCCGAAAACGTATCTAAATCTTTGCCCGACGTGATGCACCAAATAAAGGCTTTGGGGACGATTTAGGTGAAAAAGCTGGGGGAAAAGCTGAAAAAGGCAACGCAGATTGCGACTCCAACATAGTTTTTTGGCCGTTATCGTTTTTATACTCTTGCAGAGGGTAGAATTATTTTGCGACGAATTGTGTAACGCATGAGATACTTCATCGCAGACCTTATACTCTTATATTCTTGATCAGTATCAACAGCCCGACAAGTCTTCCGGCTTTAAAGATATCTTGATGAAAATTGACAGAGTTATTTTTCTTTGGTGTATCCTAGGATTGGTCGGTGGAAATTTAAACTCGTGACTTCCAGAATCTTTTCGACATCGGATAACTAAGCCATATGAACAATCGAGAACAAGAGGGTATTCGCTCTTCGGCGTGTAGGATATAGATGGCTTTTCTTGCGATTTGTTTTGCATACGTCAGCTAAAGTTTCAATGGGC